TGTGTGTGTGTGTGTGTATTGGTGTGTGTGTTGGTGTGTGTGTGACGGTGTTTGAAAAGTATCTAAAAGGGCCAGACACTGGTGGCTCATGCCTGTAATCCTAGCTACTCATGAGGCTGAGATCTGAGGATCAAGATTTGAAGCCGGCCCTGGCAGGAAAGTCCCAGAGACTCTTATCTCTAATAACAACCAGAAAACCAGAAGTGGAGCTGTGGGCTCCAAGTGGTAGAGCACTAGCCTTGAGCAAAAGAGCTCAGGGACAGCACCCAGGCCCTGAGATCAAGCCCCGTGACAGACAAAACAACAAACAAAAAACTAGACTAAGGGGCTGGGAAGGTGGCTCAGTGGTAGAGCACTTGCCTTGCATGCATGAGGCCCTGGGTTCGATTCCTCAGCACCACATAAGAAAAAAGCCGGAAGTGGCGCTCTGGCTCAAGTGGTAGAGCGCTAGCCTTGAGCTGAAGAGCTGAGGGACAGCGCCCAGGCCCAGAGTTCAGGCCCACAACTGGACTAAAAAAAAAAAACTAGACTAAAAGGCTGGGAGTAGAAAAGTGTTTGCTTGGCATGGGATTAGGCTAAGGGTAGGTCCTATGCCCAAGATTGACACAGAAAGAAAAGAAGTGGGAAGGGGAGAGAGGGAGAAAGAGGGATAGAGAGAAAAGGGAGAAAAAGAAGAAAAAGAAGGGAGGAATGGTGGAAGTTAAGAAGGAAGAGAAAAAGGGAGGAAGGAAGGAGAGAACGGAGGAAGGAAAAGAAGCAGAAGACAGCTGGGCTCTGATGGCACACACTTGTATTCCTAGGTAATCAGAAGGCTCAGAAGACTCTTATCTCCAATTAACCACCAAAAAGCCAGAAGTAGAGATCTGGCTAAAGTGGTAGAGTGCTAACCTTGGGTAGGTGGGTGGGGGAACTAAGGAACAGCAAACTGAGCTCAAGCCTCAGTACTGGCAAATAAATAATAATAGTAATAATAATAGAGGGTTCAGGGCCATTTAGGTGATAGCGAGGGTTCACTGGTCTAACCAGTTGGTCAGAAGCAGAAGAACACAGGCAGCCCCTTCCCACGTCCAACAGGGATACAAGAAGCCCCTTGTACCTGACTTTGGGGTCTTGAAGGCTGGGCATGGGGAAGGGGCTCACCCAGCAGAGGGGACAAGAGTCCTAGAGCCATCCATCAGGAACGGGGGGCGTGGGGGAGAGAAAAGGGGGTCCCAGGTATCAGGGAGGGGCAAGAAGGAGGGGGCCTGAGACCGACCCAGAACAAACCTTCTAGCACCCTGGGACTGCAGAAATAGACACAGGATCTGTGTGCACGTGTCTGTGTGGGTGTGTATCCTGTGCATGCCTCTGTGTGTGTGTGTGTGTGTGTGATGTATGGGGGGGGGGGGGAAGGGGACGCTTCACTCAGGATTCTGCTCCCACACCAGAAGGTTCTAGAAGCATTATGTCGATCTGGGGAAACAGCGAGTCGATAAGGACAGAGGACACACCGCACACATCTTTGGTTCAAGAAAAAGGCACTCATCGACCTCGCTATCATCTTCCCTTCCCCTCTCTCTCTCTCTCTCTTTCTCTCTCTCTCTCTCTCTCTCTCTGGGGTGGGGGGCGGGAACCCTAGGGTCCAGCACAAATCCTTGGGGGGAGGGGAGGGAAATCTTTGGTATCAGGCGTGATTTCTCCAATCACAGACATGAACTTTGAGTGAGGTAGCCTTTACCTTGGGGGTGGGGGTCTCAGGGACACGGGTGGCCCCTCCCTGGGAGGCAGCCATTGAGGGGAGGGGAAGAGTTTGTGGAGAGGGTTCTTCCAGCGCCCCCCCCCCATCTCGAGCCCCAGGTGAGTGGGCTCTTGGAAATCCAACTGTAGCCAGTCTTGGAAGTCACCCAGAGGAAATGAGCCCAAGTGGAAATTGGGGTGCTCCCAGAAAAAGGGGGAGCACAGTGTTTGTCTTCATTTCTAACCCTTTCCCCTCCTTGGTATTTTTTTTTGGCAAAAATTGGAAAAGAAGATTCCAACTTCTTCAGCATCAAACTTGAGGTTCACCACTCCAGTTCCTCGTTGAGTGGGACCCAGTTGTGCACCCCACGAGGGATGATGGATGGCAGAAAATTCAGAGCGCCCCGCGGCACTGGGGGAGGTGGGGCGGTGCTTTCAGTGAGTGCAGCCGTGTCCTCTTCTGGTTCCAGCGCTGTGGGTTTTGGTTATTTTCCCTGTGTGGCATTTATCAAGGTGCGGAAAGTTAAAGTGAACTAGACCAGGGGTGCTGGGGGAGGTGGGGAGAGGGAAGTTTCTGGAATTTACCCGCATGTTGGCGCTGCCACCCCTTGGGTTTGGGATGGGGGGGGCGGGAAGGGCGAAGACCCCAGGCCCCCTCCCCCGGCTTTAAGGCAGGCAATTGTTGGCACAAAGAGTCCTGGCCATGGGGAGGGGGCAGCTGGGGTCTTGGCTGTGGCAAGCCTTCCTGCCGGTGGAGAGGGTCGGTTGGGGGGGCACTCTGAGGATCCAGCTTGACAGGGTTTTGGCCACTTGGGAAGAAGCTGAGTTCTTGGGGACACAGTGGGGCACAGTAAAAGCTAGGGAGGGGAGCAGGAAGGCAGGAGGGCCTGGGCCTGGCAAAGGAGGGGGAATCTTATTTTTTTTTTTAATACCCGGTTTATATTTCTAGTATGTGCTTCTTGACCCGCTTTGGGGGGTGGGGACACACAGGAAGCCCTGGTTTTCCTTGAGGCCCCGTGTGTGTCCTGAATGGAGAGGGGGCTAGGAAACCCCATTCTGTCCTGTCTCTGCCCCCCGGGGTGGGGTGGGGCTTCCTTTTGGGGTAGTGAATGGGGAAGGGGCCCTTTGTGCCTGGGGGGAGCCAGGTGTGCGATCCCCTCCCGGGGGTGGGGGAGGAAGGTGGGGGGGAGGCCTGGCCAGCCAGTGGGGCTTGGCCAGGCGGTTCAGGCCTTGGAGAAGGTGGCAGTGGCACTGGCAGGGCCGCCAGGGGTGGCACCGGGCTCCTCGGCCCAGCGGTTCATGCAGCGGCGCCGGGCGTTCATGAAGAAGTTGCTGACAGTGTTGAGCTCCAGGCCAAGCTGCTGGGAGATGGTGACCTGCATCTCCTTGGACGGGCGCTTGTTCTCCTTGAAGATGGCGATGAGCGTGCGGCGCTGCAGATCTGTGAACACCAGCCGCTGTTTCTTGGGCTGCAGAGCCCGCTCCTTCTGCTGCTCCTGCTCCTTGCGCTTGCAGGCTGTGACACAGGATGGAGAGAGAGGGACGGACAGGCCGGGGAGGGACCAGGGATGGGGTGGAGGACAGGTGGGGAGGGAGGGATGGACCCAGGCCCAGCAGGACAGGAAAGTGGCAAAGATAGGGAAAAGCAGGGGAGGGACAGAGACCCAGAGACAAGAAGAGCCAGGAGGAACAGGGACCCCAGACAAACAGGATAGGAAGGAGACAGAAATAGGGACAGGCCGGGAAGGAGAGTCAAAGACCGGAGAACAAGACCATGTGGGGAGAGAGAGACAGGGAGGGACAGGGATCAGGGACAGGTGCAGAGGGACAGGGATCCGGGACAGGCAGGGGAGAGACAGGGACCCGGTACCAGCAGGGCAAGGAAAGAGGGGCCCCCCCACCCCCAGACAGACAGAAATACCCAGTGGTGAGGTCAGCAAGATTCGCAGGAGAGAGATAGAGACAGAGCAGGTAGGAACAGACAAGGGCAAGCAGATAGGGTAGAAAGGAGACAAAGAAAGGGGACACCATATGAGTGTAACTCCAGGTATAGCCATCAAACCCCACCCCCTCCATGGTCTCCATCCTCCACCACTTACCCCCTACTCCAGCGGGCAAGGGTTCCCCACTGCCAGCCAGAAACCTGTGACAGGGAGACGGGGGGGGGGGGGGCGTAACTCCCTAGGAATGACTCACTTTTTCCTGGAGTGCACCTCTAGACCCCAGCAACCAGGTTCCTGCAAGGCCTGACTACCTGGGGGTACCTGAGGTCCTCTCCCCCTTAGACCTGGCTTCTCTACAAACCCAGAGGCCCTACAGGGCCCACAGATCCAAAGAATGAGCGCTCAGAGAGGGAGAGGGAGGGGCCAAGCTCCACAAGCCTGGGGATATTTGGGACATCAATTTGAACTTGATCAGAAGGTCAGCTTGGCTATGCAACAGTGGCTCCTGCCTATAACCCAAGGTTCTCAGGAGGCTGAGATCTGAGCACTGAACTTCAAAGCTAGCCTTGGCAGAAAAGTCCATGAGACTCCTAACTCCAAAAAAGTTAGAAGTGAGGTTGGGCGCTGGTGGCTCAGGCCTACAATCCTAACTACTCAGGAGGCTGAGATTTGAGAATGGAATCGCAGTTCAAAGCCAGCCAAGGCAGGAAAATCCATGAGACTCTTATCTCCAATGAACCACCAGAAAACCAGAAGTAGTGCTGTGGCTCAAGTGGTAGAGCACTCGCTTTGAGCCAAAGAGCGGAGGGACAGTGCCTAGGCTCAGAGTCCAAGCCCCACAACTGACAAACAAAAATAGTCAGAAGTGGAGGTGTGGCTGAAGTGGTAGCATGCCAGCCTTGAGTGGGAAAAGCTAAGGGATGGCACCCAGGACCTGAGTTCAAGCTCCAGGACTGGCTAATCCATAAATAAGTAAATAAATAAATAGAATCTGACTTTGGAGGGAGAGAATGACCCCCATCTCCTATCCGCAAAGGCCTCATCCCACTGCTGGGCACCCCTAGGTGTGGTAGTGAGTGCCCTGCCGTCCCTGCTCCTAGCCCCTTCTTCAAGGAAGGAAGCCCTTGTGGTCCAATGGGATTGTAGGGCAGCACAGTGAGCTTGCTTTTCTTTTGGTTCCAGAACAGATGGCGTGCTAGATCGATGTCCGTAGATGACTGCAAAAATAAATGAGTGTTCCTGTGCCTTGTGACTCATTCCTTGAGGACAGGGGCTTCGCCTGGAGAGTGTGAACTGACATGTCACCTTCCTCTGGGGACACTCAGAGGTTCTAATTGGCTGCTTCAGGTTCTATGATTAAATAAGACAGTTGCAGGTCATTGGACATGTTAGAAAAAATCACACTCTGTGTGTGTGTGTGTGTGTGTGTGAGAGAGAGAGAGAGAGAGAGAGAATGTTGATTTCAAAAAAATGTAACAAAGCACAGTGTATTATTTAAAGGGACAATTAATATGAAATGGCTCATGCCTGTAATCCTAGCTATTCAAGAGGCTGAGATCTGAGAATCAAAGCTCAAAGCCAGCCCAGAGGAGGCAAGTCTGTGAGACTATTATCTCCAATTAACCAGGGGAAAACTATGGAAGTGAAGGTGTGACTCAAGTGATAGAATACTAGCTTTGAATGGAAAAGCTAAGGGACAGTGCCAAGGCCCTGAGTCCAAGCCCCAATACCAACACACACATACACACAAACTACACACACACACATACCAAAACAATAAGCTGGGTATGATAGCATAATGCTTGGGAGGCTAAGAATAGAGTTACAGGCAAGCTTGGATTATATAGTGAAACTCGCTCAAGAAAGCAAAACAGGGGTTGGAGGTATGGTTCAGGTGGTAGAGTGCCAGCTAATGGTCAAAATCATCAGATACCAAGTTTGAGTCTCTGTCTCAGACAAAAAGGAAAGGAAAGGAAAGGAAAGGAAAGGAAAGGAAAGGAAAGAAGAAAGAGAGAGAGAGAGAGAAAGAAAGAAAGAAAGAAAGAAGGCAAGCAAGCAAGCAGGCAAGCAAAACAGGGCTGGGAATGTGGTTTAGTGGTAGAGTGCTTGTCTAGCATAGATGAAGCCCTGGGTTTGATTCCTCAGTACCACATACATAGAAAAGCCGGAAGTGGCTTTGTGGCTCAAGTGATAGAGAGTGCTAGCCTTGAGCAAATGAAGCTCAGGGACAGTGCCCAGGCCCTGAGTTTAAGACCCAGGACTGGCAAAAGAAAAGAAAAGAGAACAAGCCAGGCACCAAGGGCTCACTCCTGCAATTTCAGCTATCCAAGAGACTTAGGGGAAGCGGGGTACCTGTGACTCACACCTGTAATCCTAGCTACTCAGGAGGGTGAGATCTGAGGATCATGGTTCAAAGCCAGCCCTAGCAGGAATGTCTATGAGATTTTATCTCCAATTAACCACCCGAAAACCAGAAGTGGTGCTGTGGCTCAAGTGGTAGAGCGCTCGCCTTGAGCTAAAGAACTGAGGGACAGCACCCAGGCCCAGTGTTCAAGCCCCATGACTGGCAAAAAAAAAAAAAAAAAAGGCTGAGGGTGGTGGTGGGGTCATTAAGGCCAGCCCTGGCAAATAGCAGGACTCCAAGACTCCAGTTTAACACAAAAAGCTGGGTGTGGTAGCCTGCGCCTGTCATCTCAGCTACTGTGGGAAGATCACAGGCCAGGCCAGTTGGGAGTGAAGAGCCAGATTCTATATAAAAAACAAAAAAGGCTGAAGATGTCGCTCAAGTGATAGAGCACCTAAATAAGCAAGGCCCTGAGTTCAAACTAAGGGACAAAAGAGGGAAGGAAGGGAGGGAGGGAGGGAGGGAGGGAGGGAAAGGAAGAGAGGAAGGAAGGAAGAGAGGAAGGAAGGAAGGAAGGAAGGAAGGAAGGAAGGAAGGAAGGAAGGGAAGGAAGGAAGGGAAGGAAGGGAAGGAGGGAGAAAAAGAGTGATGGGGGAGGAAGAGGACAGTGGCAGAAACTCAAGGACCCGTCTCAGCCTTGCGCCTCTTTAGGACTGGCCCACCCAGAGAAGACCACAGGAAGGGGCCAGGCACCCCATTTTTGAAAGGCCCCACAGTCTCAGGCAGCCAGTTTTCCAGAAGAAAACTTGAAACTCAACCCAGACTTTTAAATTCAAATGAAGACCCTTTTGGTACACCTGTTGTAAACTTCAAATGTGTGTGTGTGTGTGTGTGTGAATGTGCCTGAACTGGGCTTTGCACTGAGGTCCTCCATCTCTTTTGCTCAAGGCTGGTGCTCTATTTCAGCCAAACTTCCACTGGTTAATTGGAGAGGTAAGAGTCTTACTGACTTCCTGCCCTGGCTGGTTTGGAATCTCAGATCTCAGCTTCCTGTGTCGCTAGGATTATAGGCATGAGCCTGCCATTCAGTCTTTATCATAATAGTTCCATAAGGAATAATGTTTCTCCTTTTTTACACAGACAAGGCAAGCCACTGGCCCAGGGTTGCCCAGCTGATAGTGAGGCAGAAACCAATGGCCTCATCCAGCCCAGGCCGCTGGGGTCCCCTTGGAGTCTCTCACGGGGACCCTAGAGATGGAGGCTGGGGGAGGGGCTGGGCTCAGGCTGGAATCGGGAAGCAAAACTTCGGCTTCTTCATTTTTTTTTTGTTGAAGGCAGCAGAAAAGAGGCTGGGCCGCGCCCCCTTGCCTGCGTTCAATCTAATTACAGCTGTTTCCAGCCAGGATCGATCCTGTTCCAGTTGGAGCTGTTTACCGGGAGCAGCTTTTGTCACCGGCCCATCCCCCACTGCCCCTGCAGAGGTGGGGGTGAGGCTTCGAAAGCCCGAGGCTGGGCACTGGGCACCCCAGGGCCATCCTCCCCCAGGAAGGAAAATGGTGAAGGAAGCAGGCTGGGAAAGCAGGGCAGGGGGAGCACCACACTCATCCCCAGCACCACGCGGGTCCAGATACCCTGTCACCCAACCCCACAGGACCTGTCACCACCACGGCTCTCCCCTCCACCCTCTGTGGCCACCCTACCCAGCCCCAGATCCCACACACACCAGCCCGCTCACCTCCAGCTCCAGTGTCTTCCTGCCATCCGATTCTCCTGAGTCCTCTCCCTCCCCATCCTTCTCCTTCCTCCTCCATCCCTCCTCCTCTTCGTCTCCTCCACCATCCTCTTCTACCAGCTCTTCTTTTATCCCTTCCACATCCATCACCTCCTCCCATCCTCCCTCAACTCCACGCACATCAACTCTACGCCACTCACTGCCAGAGCCAGTACCACTTTCCTCCCCTTCCTCCTCCCCTTCCTCCCCCCCTTCCTCCTCCCCTCCCCTCTGCCACCACCAGCACTTTCCCACCATTGCCTCTGGCAAGTCCCCCTGCAGCCGCAGACTTCCCATTACACCTGTCCACCCTCCTCTCTTCACCTCTGCCTGGTCTAGTCCTCCCTCCCACCCTCACTAACGGGCCCCACTATTGGTTGGGCAGTGGAGTGGCCTTGTGGGTTATTTGCCATGGGAAGCCGGCAGACTTCCTCTGGGACCATGGGCAAGTAAGTCTG